AGCCATGATTAGGATGCAATATAGAACACATGTAATTAAGCACTAAATTATGTGGTGCACACAAAAATCAATACCTCCTAAAGTGGTCTTGAGTAAGAGTTGTAAATACTATATGATAAGTTCTATTTGGCTGTTTTTCATAGACATGGATGCTGAAATTAAGGTAGGGATATAGTCATAGTGAAAACCTCCCACCCCCCAAATAGATGGTTACTTGGATATGTGGAGTAAGCTGTGTCCTCATTTCCTTAGCACAATGCTTTGTACATTATAGGTACTTGTATATTTGTGGTACGTGACCCATAGTTTTTTCCATCTTTGTAAATTTTTGATTACCTTAAATGATCCATTTCTTTTCTAGGGCTTTAGACTATAATGTTGTCAAGTGAGCTTCAGGAATTAAAGATACTTTGCTGGATGATTTTAGGTTCCTCATTCTGTTACGTGTGGCATGGAGAACAGCAGAACACCAAGAATCCTTACAGATTTTTGACATTCCATTATTCGTTGGATGCTTGGATTCTACTAGAAGAGAAACTTGTTGTGAAACAAAAAGATTGGACCTCATAATACCATTTTGAAGCTCACAAGCATGGCTAGCACAGAAACTGAATCATTAGCTACACATGGGGTGCTACAGATTTGCTATAATTCCTCAGTAGCATTTATTGCACACTAATTATATGCCTGGGGTTCCTGGGTGGTGCAAACTGTTAAGGACTCAACTGCTAGTCAAAGGATTGGTGGTTCAAACCAGCCCAGAGGTACCTAGGAAGACAGGTCTGGTGATCTGCTTCTGAAAAGTCACAGCCTTGAAAGCCAGATAGAGCAGTCCTACACTGTACACATAGGGTTACCGTGAGTTTGTGAAGTGACTTGATAACAGCTAGCAAAACTGTTGTATACCTGACTCTACATGCTTACTCAGGATACTGTTCACGGATATACCATAACCTAAGAGAACTGAGACTGCTGTCTCAACCAGAATTTATGTTCTAGTTGTAGTACTAGGTGGCATTTCAAGTTGGGTTTCTAGATGTTGTTGTTGTTAAGTGCCAACTCATACTGACCCGGATAGGGTTTCCGAGGAGCCTCTGGTGAGTTTGGACCATCAACCATGTGGCTCAAACTGACCTTTCAGTCCAGTTCTTTATCCCACAGCACCATACCATGACTCCAGGGTTTCTACATAATAGCTAGTCTTTCTAGAGTTCTTACAATGTGTCGGACCCTGACTCCATTAATCCTCACAGCAACTCTACCAGGTATGTATCATTGCTTCCATTTTAAAAATGAGTAAACCGAGGTTCAAAAGTAGTGAACTTCTCCAAAGTGAAACAGAAAAGTGGGCACCGGGATTTTGACTTGGGCTAACATAACATTTGCTATGCTTTGAAATGCTCAGTTCTGAACATTTGTCATTTTCTCAACAGACACAGCAAAATGAAACCAGGAGGAGTTTGGTTGCATCTCACACTGCTTGGGGCCTCCCTGCCAGCTGTGCTGGGGTGGACAGATCCAGGGATCAGCAGAGACCTGAACATGGGTGTGGAGAAGTCACAGGCAGAGGTACAGTCAAATAACAGCTTTTCGATGTTTCCGCTCTCTGATTTCTCTTCCACCTTTAGTTTCAGTCAATTAGATTGAAGAGTGAATTAACATTTTACTGCATTTTGGTGAGGAACAGAAAGAAGCAACATGTGTTGATGTATATAGGGGTTTCTCTTTGGCACTCATGCCTCTCAAATGCTGAAAATATATTCCAAAGCCAAGGTTTAGTTACATGGTTTGTCTTCCACAAAGACCCTCAAGAGAACCATCTCTTGGTATATTTAATAAAACTCTGAAAATGCACACTAATTGGTGGAGCACACCCATGTGAATTAATGAAGTATTTTAATTATAAAATATACTTTAAAAGCAATGGACAACTTTTCAGGTATATAGATAAAAAGAACTTAGTGGAGAAAGAACTGGCAAGTAGGGGTCCTAAGGGAGTTTGCTTTAATGAACAGATAAGAATGATTAATGGCATGCTAGGTTTATATAAATGCTTCTAAAGTGCTTGAAAAAAACTTGTTCTCAAATACTTCCCTGGAGATTCTCAATATACTGCTAATTGCTGGGTGAACTCTGGTCTTTAGTATGGAAGTGGTTTCATAAACTGCAATCTAGCCCTGCTCAAGGCAGTTGCCCTAGGGTTGAGTCTTAATTCATGGCAACCCCTGTGGGTCAAAGTAGAACTGTGCTCCAGTGGCTGAATTTTTTGGAAGTAGGTCACGCACCAGGCCTTTCTTTAGAAGTTCCTCTTGGTGGACTTGAACCTTGAGCTTTTTGAGTATCAGCTAAGGTGTTAAATATTTGCAGTGCCCAGGGGTTTGCTCAAGGTTAATAGGCCTCATGCACTTGGAGTTCATAAGGGATGCAGGCTTGGTGCAGAACATGTTTTGTATATGCCAAACCATAGATAATGACTATACCCTTAAGTAAAGCAACCCAGGGTTTTCTTTGTGATGTGACAAATACTAATTCTTGGTGGTGGTGGTTATTTGCCGTGGAGTCAGTTCCGACTCATAATGACCCTGTACAGGGTTTCCGACGCTGTAAATCTTTACGAGAGCAGAAAGCCTCATCTTTCTCCTGAAGAACAGCAGGTAGTTTTGAACTGCTAACCTTAAGGTTCACAGTCCGATTTCTAACCACTACACTAATTCTTAGCAGATAATTTTTCAGAACATTTTACTTCCATTGTCTTCCTTGATGCAAACCCTTTTCCTTTTCTCTATACCTGTTTCTTGTCCAGTGGAATGAGAAATTAAAAACAAAACAAAAAAAAAACACCTCAGAAAGTCAACATGACCAGAGAATGAATAATGATATACCGGTACACCATGTATGGTAGGATTAGTGCATTATTTGATTAAAAGACACAATTTTGCTTTCATTATGACTTAATTGTAATGCAATCCCAAACCTACATGCCTTAATCTTCTGGGAGCTTCTAAAGTAATTTAATGCACACTATTGCTGTTGAAGTGAGTGTGGCTTCCTTTGTGGAGAGCAGATGATTAAATAGAAACACTATCTCTCCCATCTAAATCCATGAAGGATGCAACATAATGCTCTTTTGAAAGAGTCTGGAGGCTGACTTGCTAGCGAGAACAGCATTTCCCATATGGGAATGAATGACTTAATCATTATATGCATATCCATACTGAGGACAAATGTTCACTTAAAGGCTTCACATAAATTTCTGAGTATTTAATGGCACCGCAAACAGGCAAACACACAGGTCTAACTGTTGGGGCTCATTGGCCCACTGTTTAGAATAATTTATGTAAATTAATAAAGGAGTTGAGACAATTAAGGTGGGATTTTATTGCTGTTAAGTGCCATTGAGTTGGTTCCAACTCATAATGACCCTATATAGGGTTTTCAAGGAGTGGCTGGTGCGTTTGAACTGCTGACCTTAAGGTTAGCAGTCCAGTGCTTATCCTACATTACCACACCAGGTGGGATTTACTTGGAGGTGGGATTTAGCTGGAGGTAAACTAAAGGTAAATTAATACCAACTGAGGGCCTCTTGGTCTTAACTGTTAATAACCTAACACTTTGTGCACCAACAAGAAAAAGCAGGTGCTGCTGATTCTGAGGAAGTAAGGTGTTTATTTTGGTGTTCTTTTGTTTTTGTCTTTGGTGGTGGTTTTGCTCCACCCTTACCCACTTGAGAACAGAGCCCAGGAGATGCAATTGCTTCCCAGGTCCAGAGATGTTGCTTCTTCTGGAAATGGAAGTAATGATGCCGCAGACTCCAGAACAGTTGCCCTATTGATCAAATTCACTTTGCTCTAGACTTAGCTTTTTGCAGAGTGTTGTAATTTCTCCTCACTGAGGCTGCTGCTATCAATGATCAAATGAGATGATAATCATGTGGATAGAGCTCTTACACAGGATGGCCCAGTAAGTGTATAGGTAGAGCACATTGGTTCTTTTTAACTGATTTGTATGCTGACCTAGATCTCATCCTGTGCATGACCTCGTCTGTGTTTGCACCCTGCGGCCTCCCACCTGGGGTGCTGTCCCTTTCTCCCCAGGTGGGAGTCTTCCCCTCCTCCCAAGCCTCAGCTCTGGTTCTTACCTTTTTCCTAGAGCCCTCTTTGATCATTCTCAGGCTCTTTCTCTGAACTCTTAGCCCAAGCTGTCATGTTTTTTCTTTTCGTTTCTTGCTCTTAAATGTGTATTTAACATACGATGAAGAGCTCATCTTATTTATATTTCTCTGTCTCCCAGTGTTTACTAAATTTACGGGCAAAATAAAGGCTCAATGCGATACTTTTGCAAAATCTAGTACTGGTCATAAAGTCGTTCTGATGTTTTCAAATTCAGATAAAATTGAGAGAAATATTTAAAGTCATGGCATACCTCCCTGCACATTAGGCTAATTTCTAGTGGGTACATGAATGGTGTCCCCAGAAATCCTGTAAGTAGCTTGCAGGCCACCCTGGGCTTGTGTCTTCTCAACATAGAAGATAGTCCTTGTGTGTAATTGATCCTTGACAGTTTCTTCTTTGAGTTGTAGTTACCAGTGTAGCCATACATCACTGTGTGAAGCATGCTAAACTCATTTAGCAGTTATCCTGGGCAGTCATGTTAGAATGTTTCTGAGTATGTTTTATTTCTGATAGCAGTACTTCACAAAATATTCAGTGACTTAAGATTTTTTTTTTTTACTTTAAAGCACTTAGAAAACATTAATAAGATTTGATTTGCCTTGAAAGTTAGTTTGCCAATTACTTGAGTGCCCTACGGGTAAATAAGGATTAAATGACCAATATGTGTGTGTGTGTGTGTGTGTGTGTGCATAGATTATTAAAGCAATTACAGCAAGTGCAGATTTTGTTAAATTATTGTTTTATGTACAAAGACTGCAGTTGAAATAGCTTCGAGGGGTTTGCCATTTTACAAATGTAGATAAAAAGAAACATAGCAGGTGGAGTGCCTCTTTAATAAAAGTTAAAAGTGGTAGAATGTGGTGGAGAATGCTAATAGGATTCTGCATTGGGAGGAAACAATTCTGATAGATACAGTACATTAGAATTCTGGAATACAGTTAGATTTTTCGCATTCCCAATGCTGTTGTTATTGTTGTTAAGCACTGTCATGTTGGCTCTGACTCCTGTCTCCTTTACACCCAATAGAACAAAATGTTGCTCAGTCCTGCATCCTCCTCATGTTCATTAGTATGTTTCAGTTTACTGTGGCAATTGTCTCCAGTAATCTCATCCACGTTTCCCCCCATTTTTGCTGACCCTCTACTTTACCAAGCATGATGATGTTTCCTGATGATATGTCCACAACAAGCAAGCACAAATCTAGCTATCCTCACTTCAAAGGAGTGTTCTGGTTGTAATTCTTCTAAGCCTGGTTTTGATTTCTTCATTCTTCCGGTTGCCTGTGGTGTATTCAATATTCATCACCAACGCCACAATTTGAACCAACAAGTTCTTCTGTCTTCTTTTTCCGTTGTTCAGCTTTTGCATGCATATGCTCTGGCCATATATAGTAGTAAAAACAATATTGGAACTTTATATTTTGGGGAACCAGGAAAGTAGCAGACCTAGAAGGCCTCTTAAGGACCAATCATTTGTTGGAGGGGCCCTTTCTTTGGGCCTGGGGGGCTGTGTTCTACCATCAGTGTTTTACCAACTTATTTGGTGTCTGGGATTGAATAGTGATCATTACAAAGCCTCATACATCCTTCATGCATCTGACTAATACTTTTCAAAATGACTCTTGGCCATCCTATCTAACCATGTACTAAATAACTATGTTGTTGTTGTTAAGCGCCGTCAATTCGGTTCTGACTCATAGCAACCCTTACAGGGTTTCCAAGGAACAACTGGTGGGTTTGAACTACCATCCTTGTAGTTCACATTCTAGTGCTGATCCACACCAGCATACATGTCAACTACAGTACCACACCAGCATACGTGTCAATACTGCTTCCTTTAAATATTTTTGGTATCATATGCCTCAGATGATCATATTTATGAACAAGAGGTGTACTTTGAATTTACACACTGTGTTTTCAATATTTGTAAACTCTCTCATGGGAAAGTCTTTGCAAATGAAAAAAAAAAAAAAAAAAAGTAGGGTAGCGTCAATTAACCTCCTCTCTAACCTCAAGGGTCAACCGGAAAAAGCATTGGTCTACCCGGTTGGTTGACCTTTTCTGCGTTCTATAGGTAACCCCAGATTGCAGACATGGACTCTCCTGTTTCTACAAGAGAGATTTCTCTCTCTCTCACTTTTTTTTTAAATAGTTTTTTTTTATTGTTGTTGAAAATATATACAGCAGAACACACACCCAATCCACATTTTCTGTATACACAATTCATGAACATTGATTACACTCTTTAAGTTAAGCTGTACACCCATTTTTACCCTCTTTTTCCAAATCAGTCCTCTCCCCCTAACGTAAGCTCACTGCCTCCTAAGTGTCCTATCTAATCTTTTGAGTTGCTGTTGTCAGTTTGATATATATAGGTCTTTAAAAGAGCACAATAAAA